AAAAGATTTGCATATGTAGTTTATTCTTATCTGTATGGAAACAGAAAATGCAGAGGGAGTTTCAGAAATTAAACAGAGGTCTGGAACACCCTGTCTCAAGCATAGACATTTCATAAATTGAACGTTGTGAAAACAGTGACAAATCACCCCTAACAAAATACAATTTTATAATACAAGCAGTTTAAAATTTTTAGTTGTTATTAATGAATCACTTAACTTTTTAACATGTTGTAATATTTAGAAATACCAAAAATTTAGTGTCCATAATATTTACTAATTTAGTTTTTCAAAGAAATGTTTATTTGTTAAAGGAAAACCGATCCTGGATATGGGTTTGAAGCCCCTACCTCCAGCATGCGAGTCACACGCCAAAGCAATACCACCAACGCGCCGCTTGACAGCTTAAGTTAGGCAAAACATTTTTCAATCAGGGGTGAATGAGTCAAACTGGTGCAGATGTTTACAAAGAATGTGGACTACAGTAATACTTTGAGCTTACAGCCTATCCACGGTTGTTTGTTATTAATATTATTAATAATATCTTCTGTATCACATTAAAATTTGAATGTTTTTACAAGTGTAAGAGGCGATACACAATGTGTCTCATCTCTATCTCTTCAGTGTGCAGAATAATTTCCGCAGAGCCACACAACCTCGTCACAACATAGTAAACAACAGACATATTTTAGCTGCTTAATTACACGACTCCATATTGATATTACTATCAAGTGGTATCAAATCAGTACAACTTTTAATTTTTACAATAACAGCAAGTTGTGTTCTTACTACAGTACGTATTCTTAGAAAATGATAAAATGTTTAATTTTTTATGAATTTTTTATGTACAGGTTTGTAATGTTAGAACAAGAGAGTTACAGATGCAGCCATTCAAAACAAGCGGGAGATACCGCATTACTTGCGGTGCACTTTACGCAGTCTACCGCGAGTTACCGTAAATTCTCCTATAATACCGCAAGAAAAATAATAGTATCCGGAATTTCCGCAAGGTGGAGCTAATAAAGCTCAACCTCTCATGTTTGAGCTGTCGCCATCAGTCTTTAACGAAGATATTACTAATAGTATTAATAATGAATGACCTCGGACAAGCTGTAAACTCAAAGTATTGCCCTGGTCCACATTATTTTTTTCATTGACCGTCTTTGTAAAAGTAACACCACAGCATTTCGCAATCACGCATTTGTTTCCAATCATGCAAAGTACAGTAATTTTTGATAATCAATTCACCATGCCTTTCACATGCTCATTAAGAGAGATTGATTTAGGAACATAAACATATTACTGTATGCAAACTGTACTGTATACAGTATGTATATGTATATTTAATGTCTTTACTGTGCCTGTTTAAGTATTGAATATTTGTATGGAATTTTTCCACTGAAGGGAAATCTTAGTACCTGAGCATAAAAAGAATAGGAGCATATTGTAATGCATGTGAAGGCCATAAACTGTATTAATTTTGGAACATAAACATACAGTATATGGCTGGTTTCGGTACATTAAAGAAAACATACACACCAGTATTCCATTTCTCCCTAAACATTTTAAGCATCGAAGTCTTTAACTAACATGATACCGGAGTCAACAAGCATACTTTCAGACTTTAAACTTTCAGACGAATTAAACCGGTTTCAGTTATTTTCAAAGTAGAAGGGGGTGAGATTTTCAGCGAAAGACACCTCCCCCCCTCCAAAACCAAGGAAGTACAGTACTTACTAGTTAAGAAAGCTAGGCTCCTCAATGAAATCGCTTTAACATGCTAATGCGTTGGTGTAACAGTCCGGGCATGGCAAGCTTCTAATGTCTCCCGACTACGGCAAAAGGAACCCTTCTTTCATTGGAAGACAATGAACATATTCTATCCCTAAATGAATTAATAGCAAACATGGTTTACATAAAATACATTTTTCCAAGAAAGTTTAGCCTTTGTCACTAATGAAACCATTAAATAAAGACATAAATATAGAAATCTTAAGATTTTTAAAATACATGACTTTGCTAAAATTTATTTTAAAATAAAAACGATTACAAATGCCAGTGGAGAGAGAGAACAGGGGAGGGATGTTGGTTTTGCATAAGGCTATGGAAATTAAATCTATTTGGGAGTGTGGAGTTACATGTTCTGGCTGTTTGTGAATTATCGTTGTTGAATATGGAGTGTTGAGGCAAAATGCAATTTAGCGCTTTCTGGCAAGAGGAGACCCCCAAATTAATAATGTAACATCCTATTGTTTGTGCATGAACATAGTTACTGTATACTGTTATTTCTTTAGATACGCAATCCCATGTTATTTTTGAATCCCTGGCGGGACTGGGAGTCCATAAGAATCGAGTAATAGGTTTCATTGCACTTTGACAGATCGTCTTTAAATCAATTGTTCATATTGGCCTGCTTACTGTTTACTGTAGATGTTTTTCTAAGATGTGAACTTTTTAAATGGCAAATTATAGATTTTCCAATCACTGAACTTCTAATAATATGATTCTTTCCTTGATACACATTAATGAATGTGTCACATACTATATATGACATCACTTCTCTAGGGATCACCACCTTGCTGTGGCAAAGAAACTTGTGAGCACTTGAGATCCTAAGAGCAATGCCATTTGGAGTTAACACTTCCCATGGGGGTAAGATCAAGGGGCAGGTACTACACAAAGCTCAATTCAAATAAGTCCTCAACATGGAACAGCCAAATGATGGCAAGTCTCTGTATAATTAATGCATGAGGAGCATTACAATAACTGTGAAACTGGATGAAGGGAGCAGCCCAGAAAGTTTAAACTTATTATGAATACAGTGCCACCCAATAGAGCATTTCGGATGTGAAACTGCACTCATGGCATCACCTTAATATCCACACTTGAAAGATCAGATCACAAGATCAGATGGAGAAAGACCATCCATTAGGGGACTTCAGCCAGAAAAGTTAGTACCAACACAAAAACATGGCAACTAGTTTGCTTGTGGCAGTCAAGAGTAACAGGAAATGGCTCCAAAATTAATTCTGTCATCCCCTTGAGTAATGTGGGTATCGTTTCACCAAGCCAATGCCCCATTGTTGGCATTTTGTGGATCTTTCTGACTGTCTTATCAAGGGAAAAGGAAAACCTTCAGAAAGTGATCCAGCACAACCAGTTCCACGAATTATGCTGGGCCCTGAATTACCAGCATCAAGTGAATCAGATCAAACTAGGAACCACCTAGGAATCAACCCTGTTCAAAAGTTGCAGGTGATAAACCTTTCAGCCTTCCCACTTAGAAAGTGGGACAGTAGTCCACCCCATTGTCAGTGTCATTTTTTACCTCTCTGAAGTCCTTTCAAAAGACAGCAAATATGATGCCTCTACACCTTTGGATGTAGTCATCTTCAACAGGTTGCCTGGATGTGGCAGGGGTCTTCCTTTGTCATTGCAGCTACTGTAATTTTTCTACTTTAACAGCAAGGTACTCCATCTAATGGAGGAAGCATCTCCTGCAAAGTCTGAATTTCTGCTCATTTCTGAGCAGTTGATTCTGTTCAAATTGCACAGCAATCTGTAATAATGCTGTGAGTGCCTGCATCATGTCTTTGAAGTACCCTCTATTTTTTCTTCTTGATACAAAAAATCTTCCTCAAAAAACAACCCCAACAACTCATTGAACTCAGGTACACTGGGGATGCTGCAGAATGTGCCTTGGCAGAAATAGATCTTCACCCATTTGTCAACAAATTTACTGAAGCATGAGAGAATATAATACTTAACATAAGTAACATAAAGTTTATAAGATCAAAATTCTCCATCAGCAAGCTCCACACATCTGGCCTAGTTTCTGAAGAATGTAGCACACTTCCTCTGCTTTGGCAGTAATCTTTCATAGAAGGCCAGTATTGACAAGAAATCCAACATTGGATCATAAAATAGCAGCTACCGTAAACTGACCGACTACCATGCAGCCATTATTTCTTCATTATTGTGCTGAGCTGATACGTGCATAAGATGCAGGAAACTTAGACAGGAGTTATATCACTAATTTTCTTTACAGAACATTTTACACATCAAGTAAGAAGATGGATGCACCTACATCTGTGTTCTTTCCTGAGGAGGCATGACTAAAACTGTAGCAATGATCATCTGCCATCAGCTCTATAGGATTAATTATGTTGTCCAGAATGTAGGCTCCCAAAGTTCACTTCTCCCAGCTTACCCAAGACAATCACTTGGGTAAGATTTAAGAAGACAGGAGAAGCTTTTTAAATATATGGTTAAAAAAAACAAAGTTGAAGAAATGCAAAATCGATGTCAGCTCCTGGGAGATTATGGCCATTGACCAGATGGAGGAATTATATTTGGGAATGAGCCCAGAACTTTGAAACCCAAAGGCCTTAGAAAGAGGAAGTAAAGCTGGAGTCTCAAAGAGAGATTACCATGACCGGGTTGTGTGCAGTACACAATTTATCTCCTAAGATAAAACCTCATCCAGCCAGAGAGTGTGCAGATCCTGTTCTTGCTCTATATTCCAGTTGTTCTTTAAATGTTTTTTTTCTGAATGTCAAAAGGTTACTTTCCTAACCTCATGTTCTACATGGTTACATGTCAAAGAGTCATTTCAAATACCTTATGTTTTCAGTGTTTATTATGTTTTAATAACTTTCAGTTAATTACATGTGTGCTATAAGCTTCAAATGAAAATATATTATTATTATTATTGTTGTTGAAGTATTGTTTTTCAGGATTTTTAATTACAAAGTTTTTTCTGTTCTCAGTAAATTAAAATTTCAGAAACAAGGGGTGCATTTGATTCCTTCACCACAACTGGTTGGTGCCATTTTTTTTGTTCTCAAATGTAGTCATTTTTAGAGACTGGATGATTTTTTTCATGTTTTCTAACAACTTTAAATCTTTTGTGTACAGCAGTACTTCCAGCAGAGAGACATCTTTATATTACTGCCTGTTCTCCGTGAGGAACCTCCTAATTACTCATTTCCTCTTTTCCTCAGTGGCGCCAAGAGCAAGCCTTACCTTACTGTCGATCAGATGACAGAATTCATAAACACAAAGCAGCGGGACCCCCGGCTAAATGAAATACTCTACCCACCACTGAAACAGGAACAAGTGCAGCTGCTCATAGAGAAATATGAACCGAATATCAACCTTGCCAAAAAAGGTCAGTCACTATTTAATATTTTGGCAGATACACAATGCATAAACACACGAGCACCATCACATACAAAACCTCACTTGTTTTGTAGATATTTACTACACTTAGACAGGCTGCAGAATAGCATATCTCTTTGTATAATTATCGTTCAATATCTTCTTACTTAAAAGACGGAAGAAAAAACTGCTGTTCTCTTTTCATTGGTTTGAAACATTGATTTTTCCCTGTGTACCAGGTGTTGCCAATTTCTAGGAAATGTGAAATGAGTGAAATCAGTACTGTTGGCTCCCCAAGTTGAATTGAGTGTCTGCTGACCAGCTGCTGCTTTGTATACAAGAGAATGTATACACTTTACAAAGGAAGTACATTTTTTGAGACTTGGTTAAATATTTTTGTTACGTTTCCCTTGGATTTTTACATCTTACATCAAACGCTGTCATGCATGAATGATACTGTAGAAAAATATAAAGCTTCCCCTTAAAAACTAAGGTTTTCTCTGAACGTTCTCAGATTTTTCTTTGATTATCATTTGTCTTGGTGGAAGTTTCACAGTCTTTGAATGATTAATCAAAGACATTGTAGTGACATGTTATGTTTTCAGGTAAATACCTTTCATTTTTAGAAATCCAAATAAAGTTATTTTTTATTCATGTATGGGATCTAATATATACTGTATATATAATGTGTTTTATATCATTCTGCCTAAACAGCAGTATTTGAGACAATAATAATGTTGTTCTTATGCAAATCCAATATTGTCATGTCATTTACTAAACCGCTTTATACCATACGGTGTCATGGGAAGGCAGAGCCTATCCAGCAAGCATGAAGCGCAAGGCGGGGCACACCCTGGACGTGGCACCAAAAATCCAAGATTCCAACTGAAAAATTTAACAATTATGGCTCTGCACTATTTTCCAGGCTTGTCATGTTTCATTGGTTTGAATCTGTACAAAAATCTGGAGAATATATAGACATACAAAGACATTTACAGTAAAATGCCAATAAAATATTTGCTATATTAAAAACCTAAAAACTTTGGGTTATTCTGTAATTAATGCAATGTATTAAAAAGCAGTAAAGAACTTAGTAAAGAACTGATGCACCTTAACAAGCTTTGATGACACTACGGGGTCATTACCTTGGCAACAGGTCTGCTCTACCTCATGGAAGTACACAGTAGGCTGGAGTCATGCTGAGATGCTTTAAAGGAATGGGAGTAGACAAATATAATCCAATTTACAACCTATGAAATTTTAAGACTTGAGTTCTTTTTTCAAAAAAGTGAATAAACTTTATGTATTTAGCATTTTTCAAGAGCACCATTGTACATTTATGGATAAACACTTTTTACTCAGGCTGTAAAACCCCTCACATTAAAGGTATGAAGGGATTTATAGATTTTATTTTTAAAGTGTAACTATGGAAACATAATTATTTATTTATATTCACACACTGACATATAAATACTCTCAGTAAAAAATAATGATCAAATGCAATTTTTAGGTTAGATGGTAGAATTAGTGGAATAGGTGTCCTCTAAGGAAAACCAGACTGCAGCTGTTATGGCTGACTTTAAAGGAAAAAGTTTATGTTTTTCATAATGCAGACTTTGAAGGAAAGAGATACGGTTTAAAAGAATTAAAACTGGATATGTGTACATGAAATCAGTGGAAACAGATTCTACTTGAAACATAGAACAAATGTATCCCACTAGTAAAAAACACCAGAAAACCTAAAAACTGGCATCCCATCTAGTTCAACAATAAAGGAAAAAAAATAAAGGAAATAAAAGTGCTTTATAAAATGATTGAAAGACAACAGAATATACATAATTAAAACAGAGTCCGATGAATTAAAATCAAAGGAAAAAAGTATTAGGCCAAGAGAGACTATTATGGAGGCTAAAGTTAAGAATTTCTTTCAGCAGTACAATAGCAAAAGAACCATCAAGAATAAAGTAAAAGATATCTGGGACAATAATTGTACACGTCTAGACAATGAAAGGCAAATGGGTGATTCATTGTTTTAATGGAGTATTTCTCAGTTGTGCGCAAAATAAGAAGTCTACAACATGTCCTAGGCTGCAGAAGGGCATTGTGTATGAAATAGCATAATCACATGAAAGGCAGAAGAGTTTTGGTTATTGGAAACACTCAGGATTGATAAATTCTTGGGGCCTGATGGTCTCTTACCAGTCATACTCAAAAGGAAACAAAATATGTTCTATTTAAAACACGCAACTCTTCTAAACAGTTACAAAAGACCCATGGACAGGTCAATTGCTAATTCTCAATAAAACTGCCCATCCAAAAAAAGAGTGACCAATTGATCTGACTTCTACTGTATGTACAGTGATGGAAAAAAGGTATTAGAACCCAATTATAGAATCACCTACTGTATGTGGGAATAATATCCTTTGAAGTAGTCAAAATGGATTTAGAAAAGTACAGTAGGTCTTGCTTAACCAACTTACAGTATTAGAGTTCTTTGAGCAAGCTTTAAAAGTCATGGATAAGCACATGGCATATGATTTAGTGTATTTTGAGTTTAAAAAGGCTTTAATAAAGTTCCTCATGACAAATTAATTTTCGATTTGCAGGCAGTAGGCATTCAGGGAAATGTGAGCAACTTAAAAAGCAAACAAAATAGTAACATAAACAGTTAAAAGTATAAAATTTAATTAAAATGTTATGTCAAAATTGTATAACATGCTAGTTAAATTGTGTACAATTTTAGTCACCACATTACAGAAAATATATCGCTGCTCTAAAATCAGTCAGGAGAAGAGCAACCAGATACATTCTAGGGATTAAGGAATTTTGCACCCTCTGCCCTGGAATTTTGTCTTGAAGAGACAATTATGAGGGGACCTGATACAAATATTGAAAATCCTCAAAAACACTGCCAAAGTCAATCCAGCAGATTTCTGCAAAATGGAGAATGATTCATGAAGCAAAGGGCACATGTGGAACTATGTGGAAGTACATTTTAAACAAAGAATATGAAGTACTTCTTTACTCAAAGGGCTGTGGGAGTATAGAAAAGCCAGCAATGTTGTTAATGCTGAAACCCTGGCTTCTTTCATGAAACAGCTTGATGAAATTCTTGAATCAATTAACTACTAACTACCAGATGGGCCAGATGGGCTGAATGGCCTCTCATTTGTAACCTTTCTAATGTTAGTGGACAAAAGGATGGCAGTTATGCCTCTAAAACAACATTTTTTTAACAAATTCCTCATTATGGGGAACATAATGAGGCATTCTATACTGTGCAGTATAGGGGCCCCCATTTGGAAGAGGTATTAAACTAAGGCCCCAACGTCTTGGTCATTACAGATTCTTTTGGACTTTTCATAAGCCCAGCAGTTTTTAACAGTAGTCTTGTCTAATTTCCACTCTGGACTCCCTAAAGTTGGTGCAGCACTGATCTGCTGTCCCCTTACATGTGAAGTGCTTTGGGATGGTTGGGATTCAAATCAATCAAACCTTTAATATGAAAAGGGCACATCATCCAATAATAAAACAATAAACTTACACACAATCCAGTCAACCTGCTTCAATTCACATTTGCCAAGTCTATTTTTATCTTAATTTATTAGAAAATGTTTTTTAGATGTTTTATACAAAATGTACTTCAATGATAATTTAAGTCTGACTGACTTTGTTAACCTTATTCTATTTTAAATAGCATATTTACCCTAAATAAGCCTTAATGAATCCAAAGATTACATTTTCTAAACACCCATGCATTTATTAATAGCATTCATTATTTTTCAGATCTTATTGCCAACATATGGTGCCACCACATATTTTAATATATCCATCTTGTTCAAAATTGTGCCACCATGATATTCTTCAGATTAGCCTAATTTAAAATGAACATTTTGCACTCTCTTATGACTTTGAATTACTCTTATGAAAAGTAAATAATTTAATTTGTAAATGTATCAATAAAAGCAGCAAAGAACCTGCAACAACTTTCCAACGATACTGTAGATCTATGGAGATCTAATTTTGTTAAAGTGACACCTTGAACAGATTATTTTTATGACTATTTAATGACTTGTCTGTAGTTTAAAATATTGCCTTTTAAATGTGAGACAACATCCTTTATTCTTCATTCTCCAAACTAGTGAACAAAACGTAATTGTATTATAGTTGCTTCTTAAATAGCTTAAATTGTTCTACCAATGCTCTGGCAAGTAGTCTATTTTTCCAACTTGCTGTATGTACTCACTTGAAGTGACAGAATTCAGCTCATTCATTTTCTTGCTCTGTCAGATCCTGTAACAGTTATACTGTCATTTACTTGAGATGCTTGGAAGTGAAGGGAATAAAGCTGCAATGCATGCTGTCCTGTTGAATTTCATGGGTTACCAGTGCTCAACTGTATAAAAAAGTATATTTAATTAGGTTTTAAAATTCTTTAGAGAATAGAAGTGTATTAATCAGAATCAGTAGGAATGGGAATTCGTCTCTTTCGTCTCAGCATTTCTTATGTCTGCCTGGTCAAGGTGACTACAGCTTCTGTTGAGAATGTAATGATCTAGTCATTACCGGCTGATGGCTGAACTATGTACAATGCAATTGTTAATTTTGTCAGCCAGAGGCAAGCACAAGCAATTGTCCTGAAATGTTATTCTAGATGTTTGTAGTGGCTGAAAAAATAACTATACTTTATTAAAGGGCTCTGTGATTATTGGTTTTTAAGCCATTTCTTTAAAACTAGCAGTGTACACTTACAGTACACTGATTGCACAAAACATATACAGTATAGTGCACCTGATAAAATGTATGGTTATGTATCTAGCATGCTATATAATTAAATGCACGGTTTAGTGATAAGTGAAAGTACAAATAGTTCCATAAATTACTCAGAGCTCATTTAAAGATGGAATAATTTACAATGTATTTATTTGAGTTCTCAATGTTAAATTGGTACTGGTGAAATACAACAGAAATACAACATTTCTGCAAGAAGCATATAGAAAATTTATTCTCTGTTGTAGAAAGTAGAATTAGCTAAATCTGAAGGCTTTTTGGCATTGCAGACTAGTGTAAATTATGATAATATAAGAAAGAAAATAGACTAATTAGCCATCATTACTTAACATAATGCTACCCATCAAAATTAAGCAATTGACATATTGATTTAAAAGTTCACACTTTTATTTTATTGCAGAAAGTATGAGTTGTTATTATTTTAATATGTTATAATTATGAAGTAGAATATTTAGTATAATTAAAATGTGTTTGTAAGTAAGATAGTAACATTTCAACAAAGACTTAGAATAAAAATAATAATATTATTGATACAAATTAGGATTAGTAAAGGATTACTTTATTTTGTCAAATAAGGAGCCTTATTTTAGTCTTTTATTTGCAATCTTGGTTATTATAAAAATGAAATGATTAGTACATTTCAGTGCAGAAAGACTGATAATGTATATCTAACAGGGTTATGATTTGGACTAGCTCAGTGAATTGTTCTTCAGAATGATTATCACCTGTGAAAAACACATGCATGGTTAATGAATTCCGTTAAGTCCATGTGAACATCTTTTGTCAGCTTGGATTTCAAAACTTAATAAAATAAGTAATTAATTACAGAGAATTACAGTAATTGCAGAGAATCATGACCCTTTTTTATCTTTTAATCCTCAAATCATTAGGGATCCCGTGTCAAATTTATCTGGTTCTCTGTAGGAGACTATATGTTTAGGTTGCAACCTCATTACCGTGCAGATATAATGTGGTTGAATCCTTAAACAATTTTATCACACTGCCACAGACGAAAACTTAGAAACTTAAAAAAATGAGAGAATGACAGATCAATTAATTTTCTTTTATGAAGAAAAAACATTAAAATATTTCTCATACTGTACATGTATATTGGTGTGTTCTAGAATTTGAGCACTGTGGTATTTCATTGTTCAATGAAACTGGTCTTGCATTTGGACTTCTGAGTTGATGCAAGCTCACAGGGGAACAGGTTTTCTCGTGGTGAGCTGTCACTTGTCACTTTTGTTTTATTTTTCCCTAGAGTGGTATGAGGGATAACATACTTGCTGTCCTTTCCCACTGTGCAGTTAAGTTCGCTCGGAAAAGAAGTCTCTTAGGATATGCATGAGTGAAAATGTTTCAAATGGAATGCACATGCTGTATTATACGAAAAGCAGTTAACAGAATTCAGAAAATAAATCACACCTCTCCATTTATTTTACATGTTTTTAAATAATAGTTGCTATAATCCAATTTTTGGGGCCTTCAGACTTATATTCTATATTCTATAGAGTAGATGCTTGTTTTCACCACACAATGTATAAATAGATTTCCTTCACACAAAATTATATATATATAATTTCCAAATATTTACAACTTCAGGTATTTAGTTACATCCTTCTTTTTCCCCTCTAATAAGATAATTAGCTCTTCCACAATTTTTTGAGGTGATGTTCACATATGAAAACATGTAGATATACAGTACATCATTTTCCGTTTTCTTTTACCATTACCTTTATTTAGTATCCACCTCTTTATCGTCAGCCACTTCTGCTGTCAGTTTGCTGCTACTGTATATATATCAATGTATATATCAACCCTTCACTATATCAAAAATAAGCTTTGTGTTTCCCAAGTGCCTCCTTTTTTGGGTTTTCTTACTGTATTTCCAAATATTCTTTACATTCCTTAGTCTTTGTTATCTCACGCTTTGTACTGAGATAATAATCAGTTAATTTAAAGAACAAAATAGCAAATTCTGCATTACAAGATTAATTGTTGATTTTTAGTTCCCTGGTCAAGTTGGTCTCCAGGTGCTTTTCTAAGTTACTTTTTCCCTTCTTGATTATTTCATTCATCTCTTCACTTTTATTATCAGATGAAAAACTGTATAGTTTCTTATACTTAGGCTGTATGATCTTCATGCTATGATGTATAATTTGAAAGAGAATGTTTCTGTGAACACTGTAAGCTTCCTCTCAGAAGCTTCTTTTACAGTATATTCGTACATTTAACAGCTCATAGCTCCGAAGATATTGTTAAAAAAATATTTGAAATGGTCATGAACTGTACAGAAATGAAAATAACTTACAAGCAGGCTCTCCACTGAGTAAAAGAAAAAACAAATACTTTTTTTACTGTGGAAACACATGATCCAGTTACAGATGCAGTCATCTAGAATGTGAGAGGTGCCCATAGGCGTTGCGCAGCAATGTACAGGGGTGACGTGCAGCACCTTGTTTCGCTAGTTGTCAAATGCAGGACTGCATTACTCTGTAACATTGCCAGGTAGTGTGGTGAAGACTTAAATTTCCAATTATCGTGCTATCTCTGCACACTTTATTTTCTACCTTTGAGCAGCATTGGTGATGTTGTACACAGCCCATTTACTCTTTCAAATGTATATTTGAAAGAACCATGTACTGTAAAAATGTGTGCTACATTTTTACATTGTTCTTTTCTGTGAGTTAGATCACCTTAAACTTCTGGCTAAAAGAGGAAGGTACACTTTATTACAGTGGCTTACATTTACAGGAATAAATTATATAAAATTGTCAGTAATACACATCCAATGTAATATTTTTCTACTCTTCATTAAGATTTGCAGGAATTTCAGATTCATTTTGTGTGGTACAGTATATTGCATGTTGCATACTGTATGTTTGCACACATACTGTACTCTGGCAAACACTTATTTCTGCAATGCCTTGTGAATTTTTCCCTATTCAGCAAATGACAGTTACAAAAGTAAGGACATTATTGAGGTCAGGGATTGCTGGGGTGATTTCTTGGCCTTCTATGCACTGGAAATAAATTGTCTCTGTTTATCAAAGCAGCTTATGTCAGCTTTAAATGAGCAATGTGGTATGGCAAGTCATTGTTGTTTTTTAGGTTTTACTGTTTGATTTTTTTGTTAGCATATCACATCAAGAAAAAATGCTCTTTGTACAAAATGCTTAAAAACATTTTTTTTTTATTATCGGTTATTTTTTAAATAAATGTAATTATTCTTATAATTCCAGGGCAAATATCAGTGGAAGGTTTCACACGGTATTTAAGTGGTGAAGAAAATGGAGTTATTCCTCTTGAAAAATTGGACCAGAGCGAGGACATGACCTTGCCTTTATCACACTATTTTATCAACTCTTCACACAACACCTACCTCTCGGGTAAGATTCACTGAAGTTTGGGGATATTTTTACCAGCAATATGCAATGTAATTGAATATACAATATTAAGTTGTATATTAGCTGAATGAGTGCTGAATATTTACTTTCAATATGAGGGACTTTCAAAACAAAGCCTTTTATTTTAAATTACGTTCTGTCACATTTAACATTACATTAAAACAAATGGCAATGATTTGTGTTTCTCTGTTATGAATCTTGGTTACAGTTGCAGAGCCTGTGTTTTATTTTGTACCAGATGAAACTAAAAGGAAAAGCCTTTTATTATATGGAATTTTATTGAACTAATATGATTCATACAGATAACCAGCAATAAAAGGGCCAGTGTTAGTTTGTTGGGCTTTTCCAAATTCTTTTCAGCTGTTTTACATTTCAGTTCATAGTGAACAACTCATCTCCTAGCTGCATAAAAATATCAACTGTAAAGTAGAATTATTACAAACAACTAGTTTATTTTCCAGAAGTAACTGCTGACTGGGAATCTGTTGTATTTAATAACATCATATTATCATGGTTAACCATAAGTAAATTAGGTTTTAGTTCATTTTCTTAAATCAGAGGCAAAAATACCATAATTGCTGTTAAAGAATATATATATGCATTAAATATTATATACCTGTATATGTATATACATTTTTACAATTGCAATAACTGTATTAGCTTCTAATCAAAATTCCCTCTTCACATTGAGAATAAGGTGAGGAAATGGAAAATCTTCTTGTGTCTTGTACAGTCAAGAAATTAGTTTACACCAAATGAAATGTGTTTGTTATAATATTGAATGAGATGGTGGATGAAGTGGGAAACAACTGTATTATAAAGGAAAGGGTAAGAGACAATACTAGCTGACAAATGTATATCTCTTTATAGATTGTGTGCTTTAGCAGTTTACAGAGAAAAAGAAAATGTTTTAAAAATGCTCCTAAGAATAAAGTCTTTGGAAATAATACTTTTTCAGATTTTGAACATAACATTGCCTTTACGCAGTACCATGTCTATTTAAACATAATCTGACAGGCTGCACATTTGTAACAGTGTGATAGTGTATAACATGCATATGTTATACAAGAAAGTGGGATAGAATTGACCAGGAATAGGCTAGCATAGTTCAACACAATGCTTACCTGGACCGCATAGTTTTAAATATTTTTTTATAAATCCTCCAGTAACTTGTTTTGTGTGAATGTAGCAATGCTTAAATATCAAGCAATGGATATATAAGTTAATTAAGATCTTGTTATAAGATGCTGTGCCCCAATCCAAAATGTACCTCCTCAGACAGTGCTGAATTCCACTATACTAAAAGGCTGGATCTCTGTCTGTGTCAGGCCAATCCAGTCCTATCCATTTTCCTGAGGGATTTCACCACCTCTGGCTCCAAATGAACCCTATTGAAGCAGAAGTCTCTAAAATTATCTGTATTTGGATTTGCTGTTTTTAGGCTATTGTCCAAGTCCTTTTTTTCATGGATTTAGTATGATGAAAACTAATGAAGCACAAGTCTTTCTTAACTGTTTAACTGTTGGTGTGTAAAATTAATTGTTATACCTTGAAGCACACATTGATTTTCAGTTAAAGTAGATGTATGCATTTGCCAAGTGCTTGCTGTGATGAAATTAACAGGATAATTCAAAGAGATTTTTTTAAAGACTAGAAAAACTTGAAACTTATAATGGCATTCTTCACCTACAAGTGAGTTTAATCTGAACCATATGCATAGTCATAGAAAATGCTGCTGTCTATTGGTTTTACATTTGCCTGCATAGATTCTTAAAGATGAAAAGCCAGAAAAAATTGCTAAAGTCTTGTGGCAGTTTATCCAATGATACAATAACACCCCATATTCGCAGACATTGTATTTTACTTTGTACTGTATATATTATATGTTCAGAAATTATAACACTTTGTTCACTAGTCTTTTAATTCTATACTGGTTCATTATGTTAAGCAAACCAGTCCTTTTAAAAGTTGATAATTTGTTCACCAGGCTCTTTAGCCTTCAGTTTAGGATTTGTAAAGTAACTTGCTTTATTCTACAGAGGGTCTAAACTTCAGAGAAACATCCATTTGTTTAAATTGTTGGAATTCAGTATAGATTAGTTACAGAGGAACATTTATCTGACTTACCTCCTTAGGCTGGGAACTCCAGATTTGCCTTTGTTCTTGAACTGAATTTGGGCTTACTACATTGTGTTATTTGTAAAAGCCGGAAGTAATCCAGGACCTGGATGACGTATAGTAAAAATTTGGATACATACTTATTACTTCTGTTTTACTTAGGAGGGAAAGAGTATGGGCAATTTGTGTTAATGTTGTATTTGTTTTTTGTGTTTTGTTTAATGCAGTGTTTTTGTTTAGTTTAAATTTGGAAACCCTGTTATTGTTCATTTTGTTCTCTGAGTTTGTCTTGTCCTTTACCAAAATGTTTCTAAGATTAACTTTATACATTTTACCACCTGTATCCATTTTTGTTCTATCTCAGACCTGGGTAAATATTAACAAGAATGATGGTTACCATATTGTAAATCAATAGGATCATAGAGTATGCAGTAGTCCTTTTTTCTACTGCCTTGCAAAAGGAAGTTTAACTCTGCAGTGTATTTACATATATATTACATAAACATATAATTTGTAAAGTAAAACTACATCTTGACATGAGACATGAGAAAAAAAACTAAAGTTCCACACATTATTCTCATAATTGAGTCTTGAACCCCAATTAAACCCAGGACCTCAGACCTGTAACAACCAGGACACAATGCCACCATGTTCCCCACTTAAGCCCTTCTTAATTAAAATACCACATAGTATTTTGTCTAAATAGAAAAAAAGTAAAACATTCTATTTGCTTGTAATAGGAAATAATTATGTATGCCTACCATATTAATCGACTATATACCATTCTTGCAAAGTAGTCCTTTTGTATTTGTAAATTACTTTATATATTGTTTAAACCCCAGTCTTCACTGGGTCAAGTAGACTAAAAATGGGTGGCTGGATATTGTTTCAGTACAACATTCTATTAATACTACAGATATAAAGATTAAAAGACAGTACCATATAAATAGGTTTACCAGCCTCTGGAGGCTTTACTGTGACTTGAAGAATAGGATTCAACTTCATTATTCTACAAATTTCACTACACTTACAGTATGTCATTAAATGGAAGTTCTTGGTATTGATAGATGGATAACATTTCCACGTTTCTGTGTGATTAATTTTAAGAAGATATATCATTTTTTACCACATGGTTTTGTAAATATTGTAAGGTTCAGGCATAAATTATTGTTGTTGCATCCCAAGCTTTTAAAAATTCACTTTGAGTTCCCAAGTAGTTCAACCAATTAGATTTGCTCATTTAGAGTAATTTGAACATTATGACCCAGAGATTGCCAGCTAAATGTGGACTATATAATTTATTGATATCCAGAGGATTCCTTAAAAATGTGCATAATTCCTTAAAATTACCTGAGCAGCACTGAATGGACTTAAAACCTCAAGTAGCCCAAGAGCCCCTATCATGGAATCATGGACAAGCAACTAAGTATTGATAGGCAACCATGAACTTGCAGTGTTGTCGGAAAGAGCTGCATCTGTCCTCTAGTTGATAGAACCTTTCCTATGCAGTCAGTGTTGAACCCAAAGTATAGAAAATCGTGGGTAACTCTGACAAGGGAACCTCTTGAGGAAAGCATGCACAGTCCTTATTTTTTATATGCTGGTACAATGGCTGATAATGATAACACACATTTGATCAACATTTGACTATCCCAAATTATACCAGTTTGTTTTCAATACTTCAGGTATTGTACAGTACATTAATCTTGATGATGATGTAACAACAAGCTGGTTCAACAAAGTCAAGAAATAAAGACCCTTTATAAGTCTTTATGTCTAAGCAATGGAAGATACAGAATTATGGCTAAGTCTGAAAGTACAGATGCATCATTTTAGTTCCAATTTTTAATTCTATAAAATTCATTAAACTGGCAAAATTGGTTAAGCGTGGTTAAACACGTATCACTCTGGCTTTAATAAAACATGCAGTGTCACTCCTGCAATTGGTGATACAATAAGTAGACCTTTGTGAGTCCAGTGTTTTGGATGTGATTACTCTCTCAAGCCATGTGAATCCCTAATGTAAGTGTTCTCATGGCTGACATTTTGTTCTCTCAGCTGGGCAGCTGGCAGGTAACTCTTCAGTGGAGATGTATAGACAAGTGCTCCTGTCAGGCTGTCGTTGTGTGGAGCTGGACTGCTGGAAGGGTCGCACCGCAGAGGAGGAGCCTGTCATCACACATGGTTTTACCATGACATCTGAGATATCCTTCAAGGTAAATGTTTACACACGAAGTAATTGCAGAACATTTGCTTGAGTGTAACAGGGAACAAGAATCATCTGGAGGAAAAGGTGTTAGTAAGAGCACTACATAACTTCAGAAATGCAAATCTCACAACTTTATAATGTCAAGTAAGTGAGAGAAGCTGCAACAAAACACACACTAAACATGGTAGGCTTTTAATGTCAATTTTAAAATGTTGTTCTACGTGCAAAGTAAAAGTATACACTGACAGCTGATTTAGAAGGATTTGATTCA